ATAATAATAATAATAATAATAATAATAATAATAATAATAATAATAATGTTAACTTATTTATAATCATAGTCATACTAGCTCATCTTTTACTTACGCATTGTAATAATTTTTCTTCTAATTTCTGCCTCTTATATCTAACCACTGGTAAAACATATCTGTCATGTCCCTGGTGGAGACTAACTCTGAGGGAGAGGAGGAACAGCCGACAGGGAGTGGAAGTGTGGCTCTGGAGGTTGTGGAGGAGGCTGGGGAAGGGCAGACGCCGGCTGGGCAGTCAGAGGAGGACCCAGGCCCATCCCTTCTCCATCCTAGAACATGCAGGGAGGAGAGGATAAGGGAGAGATGTGGTCTACTCGGGAGGAGAGGGCCTTGATCCTCTTCATGGGCTGTAGCTGTGACAACTAGATAAGAGGACGGACATGCATACGGGCAAGTGCTGGAAATAAAACATGGAAATATCTCTAGTTTATGGTTCCTCTCTGAGTTTGGCGTCCTTCCCAGTGTGTGTTCTGTTATCTGTGGACATCCTCCAGCCTTTATCTTGCCTGGTTTGTGTTGTTTTTTACTCTTTATAATTTAAACGGCATTTCCTCCTGGTAACTGCTCATGTGGGAGTTTTTTGTCTCCAATCAGGGATATTTGGAGCTTGGAAGCAAAGTGAAGGAATAAAAGGGGCTTCACCTGTTTTTTGTGACTGTTTATTTTGTATCCCACCCTGGGTCATCACAATATCCCATGTTGAATAATATTCTGTATCTGCTTTATCTTTTATTTTTAATGTCAATCTATCAATCTCTGTACAATTTTCCAAATGATATTTTCAACTGGAGGGGTGTCCTCATTTTTCCAATATTGTGCAAATATAATTCTCACTGCTGTCAATACATGAAGTATTAAATATGTAGTCCCTTTATTGTAGTTTTCTGGTAGTATACCTAACAAGAAAATGTCTGACTTTAGATCCCCCTCCTTATTATTCTTTGGGAAGTCCCTTAAAACTTTTGTTATGTCACCAAGCTTGAGGAGTTTGACAGAAAAGGGGATTTAATGAGCTGGATACATTGTGTGTAATATCTATGCTCTCCCTATATTTGTTTGTATTTTAATAATTAAAATAATGTTTATGTTTTCATTTTATAGTATTTTTGTAATTCTTGCTCATATGATTTGATTATATACTGCTCAGAATCACATTTTTATGTGATGGGTGGTGCATAAATATGATAAATAAAGTCAATTAAATTCTGCATAACCCATCTCAGCAACTAGAGCAACCCACTTAGTAAATAGTAACCTGCTAAAAATGTATTTATTCTGCCAGCAAGCAAAAGTAATTACCCCAGTCTGTGTTTTCTCTATAGAGTATATATTCATATACAACATATATTAATATGTGTAATAATGTATAATGTAATAATATTACAACATAATGTAATATACAGGTACAGAATCAGAGTGGTGCAGTTAAATTAACAGACTAGGAGCAGTGAGACTGATTCTACTTCACTCTCTGCCTACTGCATGATTTTGAAATAGAGATAGATCAGAGAGCAAGCGAGAGGGAAAGGGAGCAAGAGAAGGAAAGGAAGAGAGAAATGGATGGATAGATAGATGGATGGACGGATGGATCCCTTTAGGCTTCTGTACATAAAAGGTGGCTATAAATTGAATAAACACATGCTGTATATATTCCATATATTACAGGTCTACATTTATTAAATATATACTGCAGCCCAATCTCACTGCTGTAATTTTAGGTGATATATAAAATTAACAACCAAGAAAACCACACACACAGAAACCGACACACAAAAAACTTTTATCCATAAAGCAACAGAATTTTTTTTTTAACTATTACATCATTAAAAATTATAATCAATATATTTTTCTTGACAGATGCAATGAAATAATTATGTTTATTATGGAATAATAATTGTTTATGCAAGACAAACAAATATCAGAACATACCTTGTATTTGGGTAGCCATAGTGTAGCAGTCTCCAGAGACTGCAAATTTTTAAAAATCCAGAAGGTGGTATTATTGATCCAAGGGCTGAGTGACACTAATACAAAATGATGCAGGTTTTAGAGACTATTGGAATAATTGTCTAGGACACCACTGATGCTGCATAGGTTCTCTCTGAAATTTGCAGTGTCAAAGAAAGTAAATTTAGCAGCAGCATTTATATCGCAGACGTTTGAAATCTGAAATTGTTTTTTTGTTGTCGTGTGATGTGTCAAAGTGAAAGCACTTGCACCACAAGAAAGCAGACCTTACTCGGTTAATACTGCTTTTTCCAAGTATAAAGTAACATTAACTGAACTTTGGCTTTATAAAGATTCTAGGTTCATTTCAGAAATACGATTTCAAAAACAGCTTTTGCTTAAAGAAAAATAAGCACAGAAACACTGGTTTTAAAAGGAGAATTTACTTATAGAATATGAATTTGTGTTGAAGAACTAACATAAGAGCTATGTACGTATTATATAGAAACTGATAACTAACCACCCTTCCTCAAGACAAAAAAATTCATTTTTATTATGGTTGATCACATAGTCAGATGTTTCGATTGAATTTGGCACTTTTATTTACCTATCAAATCTTTCCCATGGAACTATGATGGACAGATGTTGTTTGATGGTATTGTTGCACATGTAAGCAATTTCAAATAAAGCTACTTTTTGCTATTGACTGGTGGTGATTTTCTCAATGCCAATGGTGTTCAAGTGGTGCTTTAGAAGTTTTGGAATTGCAACCAAGGCAACTATTAGCATTGGTAGTATTGATATCTTTGTTTTTTATTGCTATAGTCATTCTACTTTTCTTTGCAGGTCTTTGTATTTTGTGATTTTCCCCAGTTCTTTCTCTTCTATTTTTCTATCGTCAGGTACTGCAATGCCCACTATCCACAATTTTTGTCTTTCTTTTTGACAATTGTTAAGTCTGGGGTGTTATGTCACAGGTATTTTTTGTTTGAATGTTGTTCTTATTTTCCAGATTTTATCCAGGGTGGGGGAATATATTGATCAGCTCAAGGCAGAAATATACTTAATATTCCTGCCTCCTATTTTCCCCATACTGACAGCTCTATAACACCCTTAATAGTCCAGCCTGGGAAATGGTAATCCTCACTTAGCAATTCAATTGAGACAGGCGATTAGATCATTAAGCAAGTAGTGACTAAGTGAAAATATCGCCAGGATTACAATTTTACACAGACAATGCTTACTGTAATGACAAACATGTAAGGGGGGGAGGGGGGAGGGAGAGGGAGAGGGAGAGGGGGAGAGAGAGAGAGAGAGAGACTGCTAAAGTTGTTGGTCACAAAGTTACTTTTTCATCATTGTCGAAACTGCAAACAATTGCTGTCCAAAGCAGTATCTAAGCGAGGGCTACCTCAATATTCCTGAATATTCCTTTTTCAGAAGCTGAATTAACTGTAATTTCTCCTCTGCATACATTTTTGGAGAAAGTTTTAGTGTGCATTTTACTAATAGTCTGATCTAGTACATACATCATTTTTAATGTAAGCATAAATGCTACTGGCATTTTGGAAATCACTAAAAACATGGTTTTTCACATAGGTTTGGGAATCTCAGGAAAACAGGGAGCTTATGGGATGGTTAGGGTTAGGGTTACTTTATGGAAGATACTCATCCATTCTCCTATAGTTTTATTGATATATATCTTTAAATGTTGTTTTAATTGCTTTAATTGATTATTTTATTGAATACTATCCAGAGCCACATTTAAGAGATGGGCAGCTATATAAATATGATACACACACACACACACATACACACACGTACATATCACCTATGCTTTGAAGTTCAGTAAACTGGAGCTCAATTCATACAAGAAGATGATTACTACAGGTAGATATTTTTTTCTGATACTTCCTATTTTAGCTTTTCCTGTTGTCAGGAGCATGTTTGCCTTTTTTTTTTTTTTTTACAAAATTTAGTAAACTATTAACAAATGCACACTCCAAATGCATTAGAATTTTAGTACAGCCATAAACTTCTTTTCATATCCTAATAAATTTATGTAGCCTCTAGAGCTGAAATTTTTAAATCATCATATAGTTACAATTTTAGTTAATTTTTTTACACCCTGGATTTAATAATAATATATATTTTAATGCCTATGCATCACTGTATTTTATTTTATATTTTATTTTATTTGAAAAGAAAAAAAAGGAATGTAATACTCACCGAAGCGTATACTTTATATATTTAACAAACATATATATTTTATATATTTATATTTAATTGTATATGCATATTAGTGATATCAATGTTAACACTTATATAACTGCAGAACAATAGGAAAAAAGGCAACTAATAATATAAATTACTCCAGCCTATATTATCCAAATGTTAAGGTAGTTCACCAAATAATTTGCCCTTGATTTTTAGAGATTGGATATTTCAATTCCTTAGTCCATATTTTTTATATTCTTGAGTATATAATTTAGTATATTCCGGCAATAGTTTTACAATTGGCTCTTTTAATTTGTTATAAGGAACATGTTCAATCCTTCAGTGTGGAACAACAAAGTATGTGCCATGATGTCACAATATAAAAATGCATGTTAATTGCATCAGATATTAGGACAAAACTACATATAGTAGTGGTGGATTAAGTCATTGTTTACTGCATTTTGTTCTTTTGATGCAATGTTGTCTTGACCCAGATGGATGGATGGATGGATGGATGGATGGATGGATGGATGGATTTGTGTGAGGGCTTCTTTTTTGCTTAGATTTGCAGCCTGCGCTTCTATGGTGATCTCCCATTCAAATACTAACCAGGTCCACTATAGAGGTTACCTAAACT